TTTGTTTGGAAACATGCGATATAGAAAGAGGGAGAGGGAGAGAGCATGCGCCTGTGTGGCAATTGGAAGGTGTGTGAAGTCAACTATAAATAAACCCCTTCCAATGGAAAGGAAGCAGATACTCTAAGATGAAATAGGCCTGACAACGTACAGTCCATACTGAAATACCGTAAGGGGAGTGGGAGCTACCAAAAAGATATCTGACACAGCTGCTGAAAGGTGACATGTGAAAAATGCAGAGGAATAACTACAAGACGGTCATGTAGTTGACGGACGGGATCTCGAAGGAAGTCGGCTGACATCACCGTGACTACCACCACTAATTCTCTGTCTGTGGAGTGGTATTGAATAAGCACGATTGTTCATTCCTCACGGACACCTGCCTTGACTCCACGTTGGTCGCACATCGACAAATGATCATTGTATAATGCATTTAGCACACGAATCCGAACACACCCACCTACGCACCATATTTCGTTCAATTTGTCAATGTATGACACCGGGGCCTATTTGCACGGGTGAGTGCAACAGTAGAACAGCCGCGACCGTGCAAGCAAAACTATTGTCTGAACCGCATGGCATGGTAAATAATTAGGCCGTCTGGCTATTACAGACTGAGTGCAGATGAATCTGTAGCATCCCGAGATTCCCTGGAGACGAAAGAAGACACAATACTAGGGCAGAATATATATATTCAGCATCGAGAAGGTGCCTGAGCTACTTGCATGGCCCGAAGGCCAGCCCATCCAGCAAGGTACAAGAAGGCTAATTCAAAAGACCAAAAGTGGCGCCTCAACAATACCGAGGTATAAACCACCACCGTATTACAATTACATTCGGTTGGCTGCTTTCGAATTACTTTGATGTAGGGTAATTGTTTTGCAGCGTATGGTAACATCTTAAACACAATAAACAATCGGACAACAAATAATGGGTTGCGATGGGACGTTTACCTGTAGAAGTAAAGAGAAACACCATCCAGAAATTTCCTGCAAATATCTAGAGTTAGGCCTAAAGTTAGACGTCTGACGTGCAAAGTACTCTACTTAGTAAACACAAAATACTTAAACCTCTTACATGGGTATAACAGCTAATAAAGCTAACTCGATTTTATATCAATGAGAATTACGTGAAAGTATCCGAAGATTGAAACAAGTAATAATGCAAATACAGCATTTTGCCCGCAACGGGGTCCAATAAATTGCGGCATTATGCCATTTCCATCTATCAAAAACATTTCTTTTTTTGTTACAAAGCAGAAAAGGCAGATCGCGCTAAAAGCTGTTTACTTTCTTTTCGAGATTTTTTTGCTATTTAAATGTGGAATTAAAATTAGGTCGAAATTAACATGACGGTTAATTTATGCAGTAGTGTAATACGATAGTGGCTTATCCTTCGGTTCTGGTGAGGCGCCACTTTTGTACTTTGAATTAGCCCCCTTGTACCTCGCTGGGTGGGCTGGCCTTTTGGGCCATGCCAACAGCCTAGACACCTTTTCTGCGCCGAATATATATTCTGCCTGAGTATTGTGTCTTCTTTCGACTTCATAGAGTCTCGGGACGCTACAGTAGCAGGAATCCCAGTGGGGCCAACACAGCACGATTGTTTGTCAGCGAATGTGCTTTAGCTTTGGTTTTTCCTACTGGTGAAGTAGTGTCTTCAATTAGTAAGTAAGGCTTCACCACCGTCTGCACTGAACCCCGAGTTCTTAATTATTCGCCAGTCATATTGCCTACTCGCGTTGAGTAAGCGAAACAGCTAAATCAGGTAACGCAAAACCAAGATAATTTGCCGTAAACAAAATTTTCAAAACTAGAAATTGGCCTAATAGTCAACGATCTCTGTTAATCACCCTTTAACCAGTATCCGACAGTGTTCCTAATTTTATACACACTTAGACCTGAAATATTTGCATGCAAAGCCATTATTTTTTAAATAAAATTTCGACTAAAAATGTCCTGTAAGTAATCTGCAAAAATCATATTGCCATGTTTGTTTTAATTGTCTTATTTTTATGTGATTATCTGAATACTCACATACTGTGTGTTTTGTCTGGTAATTTGAAATATTTCCGTACATTTGTATATGGTATTGCAGAATCAAGTGCATTACATTAACGCACTACGCGCGTGCTGGGATTAATTTGTTTTTTTTTTTAGCAGGTACTGATGTTTGGAGTGCCAATACATTTGCTGAAGTCCAACTATATAACTCACGCTTTGCATTTTCAGACACACAGGAATGTCTCTCATTGGCGTTTCAGGGTGAGAACATAGTTCGTTTATGCTTAAGATAGCCTTCCAATGAGTGAAATCGAGTTGACACTGAAGTATGCTTATGCTGAAGATTCGGAGGACGAAGATGATGTTTAATTCGTAAGACTAGTATTTCAACATTAATGTTTTGTGAAGAAACAACCAACTCCTGATGTAAATGTGAAAACTGTTGAATCTAGCCTTTGGGAACGAAGCTGCTCATATTAGCTATGTGATTTTATCATTCATCGACAAAATTGATCTCGTGAATGCACTTGAGTAAGGCGCTTGTGTGTGAATTGGTTGAGGCTTCCGTTTATTTAAGCCGAGGAAAAGACCAGCAGCTTATGGACTTGAGTATATGATTGTGCGATGATTGCCTAATAGGACAATAGCCTTTCTTTTGTGAATAATGCAAATTGAGAGCACTCTGATGGTTTTAGCTTTGTTCAAGTTAGCTAAGTTCGTATTGTGCCCACTTTACGAAAACAATGACTTA